GCTAGCCCCCCCTACCCCGGTCTCTTTGCCTAAAACCATGTCATCGTTCGGTTATTATGCAAGAGGGTGGGGATAGCTCGGGGATCCGCGGCTCGGTTCTCCCGAGGTTTCTTCGGGGGTTGGGCGAACGGCTGGTGGTCGATAATCTTCGGCGGACTCCGTCGCCCACCCCCGTTATCTCTTCGATAACAAGGCCCCGCTCGCTCGGCGAAAGGAAAATAGGGTTCTCTAGAACACTTGGCGGTCGGTAAATCGCGGGGTGAATCGTTAAAGACCGTCTCGACATCCGTTTCCCGTGTCTTCGGTTTTTTCTGTCTGGCGCGCGTCGAACGACGCGTTCGACGCGCTCGGTTAGTTATGAGAATGCCGTTGAAATGTCTTTTTCAAGGGATTCGTTCACTTGGAGATGCTACAGCATGTTTTGCTTCTGAATTTTTAGAATATATTCATGTAGGAGTTGTAATTGTTTTTTGTTGAGGGTAGATCGGAAGCGACGAATAGTAGGTGGGTACGTAGATAGATATGCGCATAGATAAATAGATACATAGAAACATAGATGAACAGTAGCACAAGTAGGTGAATAGATACCTAAAAAGAAGATAACTGATTATAGAAATTCGAAACTGAAATAATCACGCGATCATCGTGAAACCGATAACACATTCGAATTACTATCGATAGACTCGATAAGCACGCGTCGATGGTGCACTGTTGTCGTTAAGTGGACGAGCTCCGATTACTATACAGGTAAATAATTTAAATACGTCGATTCGCCGGCCGCCGTTAGACGGGCGACGACCTTTATTAACCACCGAGTTGCTCTGTCTTCAACGATCGACGGAAAACTCGGAGAGGATGTAGTCGAGCGAATTACAGTTGAAGAGCGTTCCGGTATAGACTGCTGTAGGCCGGAGGTTTTCCGGGGATCGGGGCGCGCTTCGGGAACGACCGTCGAACGTTTAATTAAATGAGATTGTATCTCGCTCGCAGAGATAGCTATATTTACGACTGTTTTTCCTCTGCAACCCTGTTTTGTCTCGTCCTCCTCGGGGATGTGCTCACTAGATGCGTATCCGAGCTGCGGATAACTGCACCGGGGTTGGATTTATAGCGCCTCTTCTTCTCCTTTCTCGCGATGCGTCATCTTTTAATGAATCGCGCCCCATTCGTCCCTCATGGTGTCTCCATTGGAAGGTGTACGGTTGTTTTCTCAAATATTCGCATTTTTCGATGCAAATCAATTCTAACCGGCTAGTTAAATATATCGCGGTATTCTCGCCTTCTTTCGTCCGTCTTGCGATCGTCGATTGACCTTTTCATGAATCGCGTTCCTTTCTGTTGACTAATGATCCTTGAATTTAACGATATAGATCGATATTCATAGAATCCTTCAAATTTTATTCTTTCGATGGAAATGCTATTATTCCTTTACTGTACCCTTATCTACTCGTTGAGCGTTAATAACCTTGAATAAATCATTCACTGTACAAAAGAGATTTTCCACGATCAACTTCGAGCCAAAAAATATATCCGAAGAAGTAATAAAATTCGAAATTCCTTCTGGCGAGCTGATGTTCGATAAATAATGGAAAATACGATGAAACCTCCGAGACTTCGAGCAGCGTAGAATACGTTAACAGGTGCGCCTCAATTTGGAAAGCGTCGCGACGCGTTCGCGCGTGCGGCGTTCCGGGCCTTCGCGTGTCTGCTGACGTCACGCGTGCACAAAAAGATAGAGCGAGAAAGCAGCTCCCTCGGGAATGCACGGTGTATTATCATTCAAGGCGGTTCACATGGAACGAGAAGTAATACCGTCGACATAGTTCCTTTCAGCCGGTGGTAAACAGCCCTACGCCACTTTCCTCGTTTTTCATCGTGCCTTTTTTTCACCCCCCTCCCCCACGTCCCCGCGGTTCACGACTTTTTTTCTTCTATCCCGATCAATAGGCGAGCAAGAACGAGTCCGTGCGATTTTTAGTATTTCCTTAACCAACAGCTCCTCGATCCGCAGACGTACACGGGATCCATACTGGTGGCTGTGAACCCTTACAAAGAGGTGGACTTCTACACGAACGTAAGTACAATGGACTCATTATCGAGATTCCCTTTAATGACCGGCGCTTAATGTAAACGTGATCGATCGCCTTTTCGATCACGCTGAAAGCTTTCCGCCGGGATATTGTTCACGGTTTGCATCGTATAATCGGTGAACAGTTCCGACTGGAGACGAAGTCAGGATAATTGGACTGGGGAGGAGTCTGAAAGGGGTTGAAACGTCGAATTGTTTTAATAGGCCAGCGTGAATTTCTGAGTTAATCGTATACTTAGTTGAAATAGTAATGTAATTTATACTTTGCCGCTTTTTTAAAATAATTTAGCTTAGAGTTATTTATAAGATACATAAACTTTTCCTTTCCTTTTTCAAGTGATCCTCGATGAAATGTTTTTAGCGTTTTGCGACAGGGTTCGAGAGATCAACCGTTACTAGTTTTACGAGTACTTGTGCTCCGGCTTTCTTAGAATTCGACGCTCTTAGAACACGCCGTGAAATGTACCTGTGCGATAGAGAGAAAAGTCATTTCGAGGGCCGGAAAAATAAATCGGCCGTTGTGTTCGGCTCGCGACGAGGCGCCGTGACCCAGAAAATCTTTCAAGAGCCGATCGTCGTCTCGCGATATCTCCTCGAAAGCACGTCGCAGTTTCCGTTTCCTGTTTTCAGTCGGGAGGCCTGGCAATTCCAATACGATAAAGGCGTCCTGTCGCCGCACGATTCGCCGGCTCGCTGTGTCGTTCGCGTAAAAACTTCTTGCAACGCGCAACAATAAATTGTAGCAACCGATGTTTTCATAGCTTTCGTAATTTCGCGGTTTTGTCCGCGAGAAACGAGAAGCTTCTGACTCTTTTGTCTTGTCTTCCGTGAACAGTATTTTTAACTCTACGATTGACATTATAAAATATGTAGAAAATAACTAATTTTTCGTGTTGCAATTAATCTCCTAGACTTGACTTTGATTAAAATAATTGAATCGCACAGTCGATGATCTCTCAAGATCGCGATTGATATTCACTCCAGCCAATTACCTTTTTCGTATTAATTTTTCCATAATTAGTAGCTCCAGAATACGTAGCCGTTTAAAAATGTAAATTCCTCCGGTGTTCATTTGAATAACGGAACTTCGGCAACACTCCGGGCGAAGTGTTTTAATTGTATGCGCAAGGAGGAGGCCAATTATTATTTATCTCGAGGAGGGGATCGACACGTGCGGCCTTCTCTTTTCTCCGGGCGAACGTCGACGCTTGATATTTACTATTCTTCGCCGGTACTTCCAGCTTACGCCCGTCGCAGGAAGTGCGTAAGCGCTCCGCGTTTCGGCCTGTACGCCGCAAATCATTGTCTCAATTCCGTTACGAATTATGAGCCACGACCGCCATTGTGTTGCTCCCATTACACCTAATTAAAGTTAAGAGCGCTTCTCGAGCCATAGATTTCCGATTGTTTCATTCTGTTACAACTGTAAACTACAACTCCGATAATTTCTATACCTCTGGAAGCTTCAACAGCCATCCCCTGTCTTCGATAAAACAATTCGAATTGTCGAAGAACAATATCTTCGTCAGAAATGCCATTAATTCCTTCAGAAGACAGCAATTTCGATCGCGTTTTATTTCGTCGTTCTCTCTCTACTTATTTATCCCGCAATGATTCGTCCTCCATAAATCAACAAAAATTCCGCAGAAAGCAAGCTTCTTTCGCGAAAACAAAACTGGATTGCCTTGGTGCGGTCTGGTAGCCTTCTACCAATTTCGCTCGGGTATCCTCCAGTAACTCATCCATGCTCGAATCAGCCTTTTCCTTTCCCCCGAACCTATTCCAAAGAGATATGTAGACGATCCCATTAAAAGTCTCCCGGAGTATCTAATAAATCAGCGAGCGCCGATGCTTTAAACTGGAGCCAGCCGCCCGGCCGCCATCTTGGAGCACGCGAGCCCCGAAGGCGCGCGTCAGACTCCACTTTCCGGATCGTTCGTCTTCTAATCGCGTTTCCGAGTGCTCTTAGCTCGCTCGCCGCCGATAATCCGACGATGCACGCGCGCTTTTTTCCCTCCTCGGCTCGCTCGTCTTCCTCGCGTTCGCTTCTCGGCGACTTTAATCTCTATTTTCGGGCCGCGACGCGCGCGCTGCGGCCATCGGCCACTTAAATCCGGCGATGGTTTAACGCCGTGTGCATCGGGGTTGCGCTTCGGGATCAGGGAGGAAGGGCGACGACTTATTTCGGGATCGAGTGGCAGCCACTTCGAACGTAAATATACGGGTCGCCGACAGCCCCGTCGTAAAACGGTCCTCGAAGGGTCCGACGACGGCGGAGAGACTTCGGGAAGTGCCTATCGGCGAAACAAAAAAAGGGCGGACGCCGTGCTCGGTCCGAAGCGAATTAAAAATGGAGTCACAATAGAGGAGAGCTCAGGGCTCCAACCCTTTCTCCCGTCGAACGGGGTTGTTCTGGTCTTCTCTATTTTTCTGTACTGCGATCGTTACACTTTCGTGTGGAAATACTAAGAAGAAGACGGATCGGATTGATTCGTGTATACTGTTTTAACGTTGGAAGAGTATTTGGAAGTGGTAGGATCGACCGAGCAATGAGATTTATTTGTTTAGAATTTATTAGGAATATTAGAAGTGAGTTTGGAAACGTTGACGCTGGAATTACTATACTGTAAGATTGGCGTTTGTATTTCCTTTTTTGAATTAGCATTTTTACCATTGTATAAGTAACATTAATTCGATGTTTATACAGTTCTGTCGAACGGTATTTCGTTATATCGCCAGGAAATGGATGGTAATCTTTGCCTATGAAAGTTCGAGGAACTGAGAATAGAACAGAAATTTGATTTACCACGGTATTCATTGTTTAATATTCCGGGCGTCTGCGTGCACCGTGAATGCATAAAATGCACGTTGAATTCCGGTGTTCAACATTTATTACTTTCAAAGGTATTCTAGATGTAGATACAGATTTTATTGGCATGAATAAAACCAGCGAGCGTAGAACGTAGAATGGCGGAGAGTAATGTGAAATAGCTAAATGAAACCCGAGAAATCTTTCCCGGCCCGCGGCGATGCAGTTTCGTTTCTTCTCCCGTGAGTTTCTGTCTGTTATTCGGTTCGACCGATCCTTTTCATCTCATTTATTCACGGGTACTTCCCGTTCTTATCCTCTGATGCGGATTTCGTCCCCTCCCGTACACAGCCAGCAATTTGCAGCTTGTTATTCAGATTTTTCCTCACTCGTTATGAATATTCAACTAATCGCGTCGAATCCGCTTTGACGCCGTCTCGCGTCTTTCCGAGTGACCGTCTGTCCTTCGACCTTACAATTTCACGCGTGACATGCTCGGTCAGAGTACATTACCGCTTCATTGAAGAACTTAAAAAGAGAGCCTCCGCGTTTATCGCACACAACGATCCCTATTCTTCGAATTAGTCCTGTAACCGTGTTCTGAACTTGCCAACCGAGGACCTGGAATTATCTTCTCACTCGACATACCCCTCCCACAAACATACTCCTACATCCATCTCTTTTCATACAAAAATTCTTACTTTCCCAAAGCCCAGCTTCAAAACCTCGACATCACAGAAGAAAATCTCCACAACCCGCGCAACTAAAAATATTAAAAAATTCCTATCTCTAGAACATACCCTGCTCCGCGAACATGCAAAAACCATTAAAACCGAGGCAGAAGTGGGCATAAAAAGGAAACACCGTCGCAGCCACGGGGAACAAGAAAAAGGAACGCCAGTCCTGGAAAACGCTGGAAATATTGAAAATCTACCCCCGAGTGAGCGTCCATTGTTCGCCGGCGTTTCATAATTTCCAAGGAGCTATTCTCGCGAAGAAACAAACGGCGTCTAGCCTCGCGACCCCATATCGCCCCCTCTCTCGCCCCTAGTATCCGACAAGGGCGTTGGCAGGACACCCGCGTGGAAAAGATCATCGCGGGGAATCGACGCGACGGTGTCGCGGAACGAGAAAATGGTAATTCGAGGGGCCGCGTTGAATAGAAACTCTCCAGGATTTCGCGAAGGTCGCGTCCCGGGGTACCAAACCGTGGACGGACCCCTGGCTCGCAGGAAGGAAAGGGTGGCTCTCCCGGTGTGGTGCACGCCCGTGTTATTGATCGGGCCGGAGCGCACATCGGATTCGGAGACTCGTCGCGGTTGCCCTGGAGCCTTCGGGAGCTTCGTCCTTTCCTCTCGGCGGCGACGGTGCCTGGGTGCGTTTCTATGCCCGTTCAAGCACCCGGAAAACCCAGAAATTGGTACTCGAGCCGAGCGGACTCGAAAGGTGGGCCAGGCCGCGGTGCGACCCGTTCCCGAGCCCATTGAATTTTCAAAGATGAACGCCTCTTCGTTGAGGCAAAACGATGAATTTCATCGCGTTCTTCGCGGCATTCGGCGATTCTTTGTATCTTCCTTTCGTCTCCTTTGGCATTGTTCCCTTTTAATGGGACGAATGTTTTCATTGGGATTTCAATGCGAGACTTCGGGCAATTGAATTTTCATTGGAATTCTTTCAGCGTTTTTCTCGGGACACTTTTGTTTGGATATTATCCCTGAGAACGAGAGGATTTTATCTAACCACGAGACGTTTGGAAAGTGTCTCGATAGTTTTATATTGTTTTAATAGTAACAGCTGGTTTAGATTGTTTTTATTCTGTGGTTGCGTATGGTTATTCATAGTATACACAGAGCGTTTTAAATAAGGTCACAGAGTTTTCATGGAATTCTCGAGTAATTTTGTTTTTCTCGTGTTTGCGGGGACAATTAATTTTTCCTCTGCGTGTGCGGCTATTTCGGAAAACGGTGCCAAGCTTCTATGATTTTCTCAGGTGACGCGAAGTTCCTTTTAGTGTCACCTAGTTTGGGCTCTTTTGTCCGGCAGTTTTTCGCATGGAAAAACTCCATTCTGTAGCGGAATAATGTCACCGGGACCATGCTTGTGCCTTCTGACCGCGTGTGCCTAGCCTTGACCAAATTTCTGCATCTTCAAAAAACCCCAGACACAGACTGCCCTC